ATTCAAATATTCAATATAGCCAGCACTTATTGAATAATAATAAAAAATTAACACCTTATTAAAAATACAAAGCAATTTCTAATTTGAGATTTTAGAATTGTTGAGACGTCTGCGTGTTTGCGTATTCAAATTGAACATATAGAATCCTAGAATACTTGCCGGCCCCTTGGACAAATCGAACATTCGAACGCTGGGTTGGGTTCCTTTCCTGACTTCCTTCGTATATGCAGTGCCCCTGCCGTGGCGTTTACTTGGGGTTGGGGTCATGCGCTGGCTTGACCGGTTGAACAAGATGCATGACTTGACACGGCAGCTTGACACGATAATCCAGCAGACACGGCAGCTTGACCAGAATAGGAGGACGCCCGGGAAAGATGCCGCAGAAGACTAACGGGCATTATATTCTGGGCACAGTGAAGTTTTGTGTTTGAAGGTGGAGCCAGGTCTTGGAGTCTTGACCAATAATTGCCTTAAACAGGAAGAAATTTCTGACCTAGCGCCATGTAGTTTTTTACAGCAATAAATACACCAACATCAACAATCTACGGAATACGTCTTGACATTGTATCTATTTGATTTTTTTTTGTGTGTGTAGATGTCAATATATATTTTTCTTGAAAACTTGAGAGACACGAGAAGTTTGCCATAAATAGAGTCTGCTTAGCAGAGCTCTAGCTGTGGATTTCTCAGGTCCTGTACAATGGACGGGCTTCTATAGAGATGCTTAGAGGGAGAGGGAGCATTTTTTTTTGTCAGCAAGCATCTCTACGGGAGCTCAACCTACAATGGAAATTTTATTTTATGGGCGCTTAAACTGTCAGGTGTAGAGCGTTTCTCCGAGCGCCTGGCTCTGGGAACCGCACGATCGTCGATCCTGGCGTCACTACCTCGCGGAGCGGCAACTCTGTTCGTGAGCGCCCCAATCTAGCCTCCACCGTGGAGGGAAAATAGAATAACGGTCCAAAACGGCCCATAGGCGCCCTACATTGTACAGACTCTTAGAGCTAATCACATGTAGCTCTAGGAAATCTTAGATCTGAACCTGCAGGCATGTTATGTGCATAGACATGACTCATTTTATTAAATAAAAATATTTAAATCACTTTAATTTAGTTTACAAACTACACATCTAGCAAAGATCTCGGCACTAGAGCTGTGCCAAATGGGCCAATAGTATAAAATACTATAATTTAGAACGGTAGGCAACGTTCCCGACGACAGCGAGGTGCCTACGGTGATTTTGTCAATCTCGAGATGTGCCGGCGCAGTCTTTCGAAGGTGCTCATAGGGGTATGATTTGTGTGCGTGTGTTCATAGGGGTGAGTGTGAGTGCGTGTTGTGAGCGTCTGCGTCTGTACTTGTGTAATTCATTCGCAAAAAAAAAAGAAGGGCCAATAGTATAAAATACTATAATTTGGAACCAAGAGAGCGGTACATAAGTGACGTTTGCATAAAGTGGCAAATGACAAACTGGTAAATGGAATTTGTAACCAAGAGAGCAATATATAAGTGTCCCATGTAAGTAGCGACCATGGTGAAAGGGACGGCACTGGTCGGATCCATGCCCTGCCCCTCGTATACTCCAAGACATTCTGTTGTTCAACGTCGACCTTTGAACTCCAACTAAAACAGAACTGTTTAAACAAGACGTGGAGAGCAGTATAAACTGAGGAAAGGTGCTCATACATGTCTCGCGCACTAGTACCACACCCTCGCCGTTGTGGTTGACAGAGCGCGGACATCTCTGCTCTAGGCCGCCGGCCAACTGGCTGCGCTTCCCGTGGTCCACCAAGAAACCCCACCGGACAGCTTCGAGCGCCATCGATCAGTAAGCATCTCTTCTTCAAGCTCTCGACTTCGCCTGCTTGTTCCCTTGGTTGCATTACAACACAAAGAATTTTAGGAGACAGCCCCTGATTAACAAGTATTTTGTAGTGCTGCCTCTGAAAATAGTCAGGCGCCCTCTAGACAGAAAAAAAAATCTAATGGTTCTCATAGGGCATCCGTAGTCACCTACTGACCTACCACGGAATCATGACATATGTGCATGTAAAATTATCCAGAGTATGAGAGAGATATAGTTTTTCTTTCCAAAAGCTACTCTCTCACATTTGTTGGTTGATTTTGTATGCACACGTGTCATCAAGTCGTGGTAGTGCCCATGGATGCACCGTGAGAACCATCCCCACTGATTTTTTTTTCAGCCTCTAGATAAATGCTCATCTTTGTTAATTATTTTCATAGACCAACATTCTAAGATGACCGCATCTATTAATCGTCGATTACAGAGATAGGGGCCTATTAAGATGTCCATATCGATATATAATTATAAATCGAGGCAGGCATTCTAAGTGTCCGCCTCTATGGGCTCTCTAAATAGTTGTCTCCAAAAAATTCATAAGTTTTTAGTATGAACTCAAATGAAGACAAACTTTATATTCAAATTGTAGAGATTGATGTGATCTACACCTTTGTGGTTGATAAATTTTTTGACTTGGAATCGTTTAAAGTCCCAAAAATTCATGTTTAGCTCTTAGATTTTGAAATTTAAAAATTAAAATTTAAAAACAACCTCAGATGTTGATATGATCTACACAAAAATTATATTTGAGGTGCCAAAGTTGAACGGTTTTGTAGTTAGGGGTCAAATTAGGCAAAAGCAAGAGTTAAGAGGTCAAAATTAGACAAAAGCAAGAGTTAAGAGGTCCAAATTAGACAAAAGCAAGAGTTCAGGGGCAAAAAATGGACTTAATCCTTCACAAAATGATCTACAACTTTCTTTAGTTAAGAAGTTTTTTATTTGTATTAAAATTCTAAATATTTGTTTTATGTTGTAAGTTATTGAAATTTAAACTTCAAAAATTTCAAACGACATTGAATCTTGACATGATCTATACCAAAGTTGTACTTGTCAACTCAATCTACATCTTTGCAGTTGACACGTTTTTTATTTGAAAACATTAGTCCCAAATATTGGTTTCAAAATTCTCAGATTTTGAGATTCATTTTTTTTGAAAATTTCAAACTATGTTGGATGCAGACACACCTTTATCAAAATTGTAGAGCTTAACAAGATCTAGAATTTTTTAAACGTGAAATAATTATTATGGCATATTGCGAAAATTGTGTTACTCTCAAAAGTAAATTAGTCTATTTGTGAAAAAAGCAATTAGCTTTGTCCTAAGTCAAACCATCTTAAGTTTAACAACATCATATAAAACATATCAATATTTATGCCACCAAATAAGTATCATTAGATTCATCATGAAATATATTTTGTTGCATACCTATTGCTACGATAAATGTTGATACTTTTCTCTATAAAGTTTGCTAAACATAAGATAGTTTAATTTATAATAAAGCTAGAGTTATATTTTTTGATAGATGAGTCGACTAGAATATTCTATTTTTTAACTTATGATAGTTAACTACTATCAACTCTTGCTACTGAGTGGACTAGAATATTATAAGACAACTAACCAAAATTAGCTAGGCTATCTTTCAACTAAAGTTAGTGTCCATATAGGTATTGTGTAATCCTATTGTGTAATCCTATCTTGTTATGATAAACTTTGGTTACCAGTTACTTCATATGCCTTTCCATCCATATTTATTGTTGTTTCCCCTTTAGCATGACCCCATCGCGTGTCTGCAATATGTATTTAGTTGAAACTTCAGCTTTAGTAAACTTAGCTCTTGTTGCAGCCCATGTGCTATGACTTCATGAATCTAGATTTTAGCTTTCTAGTTCTGATCTTTTTAGGTATTGCACTTTTTTACTCTTTGATGTGTTAAGTTGAAATTTTCTTTTAGAATTTTCGTAAAACATGAATTCTAGATCCTAGACCACACTTTGATTACTTCATGGCGTAACCATGAATTTCAACCTATACCACAATGCACAAGATGTTAACTTTCTCCTATCAAAAAATATGAATAGTAGATTAAACTATAAAAAATGTTATAACTGTTTCACTTAAAATGTACAAATTTACTTAAAGGTACAACTTAAGTAATTTATTGTACAACTTAAAATTAGATGTGATAGAGTATTAATATAATTCAATTAAAGTATATTGTTAGTGTCATTGCTTGTGATTGGTTAAGGAAGCACTTTAATGATTTGTGTACCAAAAAAAATATATACTTATATCTCGTGCATGTATAATTGCTTGGCATGCATGTTGCCACACAATTTGTATGCATACTCCAAAATATCTTATGTGGATAATTTAGTTGTAAAATTTAAAGGGCTCTTTTAGTTTATTTCTAATAATGGAAGAGGTGGTAATTAAAATATGAACTTTACATAACCTTTCCTAATGATAGAAATGAGCAATTTAGATGTAAATTTTGGGAGTCAATACAGATTATGTGTCATAATAGAAAATGTCGTTAAGTTGGATGAAAATTTAGGACGTTAATTTTGTTTGTTTTAGACAATGCCTGATGTGGGTATTTTAGAATAACTAGATCAAACTTCCATTATTGTTAATATTAATTACTGTCTACCGAATTATTGGCAATATGTTATTTAAGAATTTATAGGATTTATGACATTACAACACATGGTTTGCAAACAACACAGACATAATTTAAGTAAATGTTTCAACTAAAACATATCGAAGACGCATAAAGGTGCAATACACAGGGGGACTGTAAACAATTTATCATAACGAGATAGAGATTATAAAATATATATGGATATATGATGTCAGAAAAATGAACAAACAAATATAAGCAAAGATAAAGGATTTTGATTAATTGTGTGTATTTAAATTTATCTACGAACATTTATACTTATTTCTCATATGATTTTATCTTATGCAAGAGCACGCACAGGTTGATAGACTAGTTAGTATTAATAACAGTAACACTTATCTGAGCTTCTTGCACTTTTTATTGGTGCATATAATCAGGATCCATATTCAAGCGGTGTAACAAGACTACATATGAATATGATGGTTCCTGCAATCCAAGTACAGTTTCTCTTAGTGCTGATGGCTTGTTGTACACATATTGCCATGTGTTCAATCAGCAGAAACTACACAGATAGGCTGTCACTACTGGAGTTCAAAAGGACAATCAGTGATCCAAATGAAGCCTTAATTTCTTGGAATGACAGCACCAACTTCTGTAGCTGGGAAGGTGTCTTATGCAGTGTCAAGCACCCACATCGTGTCAGTTCTCTGAATCTCACAAACAAAAATTTGATTGGGCAAATATCTCCATCACTTGGAAACCTAACATTCCTAAAAGTCCTAATATTGTCGGGGAATTCATTTTTTGGGGAGATCCCTGAATACCTTGGTCACCTTCATCACCTCCAAATTCTCAAACTGAATGACAACACGCTACAGGGAGGGGTACCCAGCCTTGCAAATTGTTCAAAACTCAAGGAGCTATGGCTGAGTAAGAACAAACTTGCTGGACAGATTCCTGCAGACTTGCCTAATAGCCTCCAAAAGGTGATTCTCGCTGCTAATAATCTTACTGGAACCATCCCTGCTTCTTTTGCCAATATCACAATGCTAAAGAATTTTACTTGCATGAATAATAATATCGAGGGAAACATCCCAAATGAGTTTGCAAGCCTAAGTGGGCTGCAACAGCTGCAGCTCGGCGACAATAAGTTGTCAGGTGATTTCCCACAGATCGTTCTGAATCTCTCTAAACTAGTTGTGTTTAGCGTTGCTTCCAACAGCCTAAGCGGAGATTTACCAGCAAACCTCGGTCTCTCTCTGCCTAACCTGAAATATATGTCTCTAGGCGGCAACTTCTTTCATGGGCACATTCCACCATCAATATCAAATGCTTCCGAGCTGATCATTCTTGATATGTCAAGGAATAAGCTCACTGGGGTGATTCCTAGCTCAATCGGCAAACTTCAGAAGCTGTATGCACTAAGTCTCGAGTTCAACAAACTCCAAGCAAGGAACAAGGAAGACTGGAAGTTTATGGACAGCTTGGCTAATTCCACTGAGCTACAAGTATTCACAGTTCTGAGTAATCATCTCGAAGGCAATGTGCCAAATTCATTAGCTAACCTTTCCAGCCAACTCCGGTTCCTGTACTTGTCGAAAAACCAACTGTCAGGAGATTTTCCTTCTGGTGTAGCAAAGTTTCGTCATCTGGTCAGTATAGAATTGGGTATGAATCGATTTACAGGTGTGATTCCAGAATGGCTTGGAACCCTGAAATACTTGCAGAGATTAACATTAGGTTACAACATCTTTACAGGACCCATTCCAGCATCGCTTTCTAATTTGTCCAATTTAAATGTACTCCAACTAGCATCGAACCAGCTGGATGGGCACATACCCTCAAGCCTGGGAAACCTCCAAACACTTGAAAAGTTGGATATTTCCAACAATAATCTTCATGGCACCATGCCAAAGGAGCTCTTCAGAATTCCAACCTTGCTGAAGATTCTATTATATTCCAACAACCTAGATGGACCACTTCATCCTGATATTGGCAATGCCAAACAGCTCACATATTTGGATATTTCATCAAACAGTCTGTCTGGAGAAATCCCTAACACTTTGGGTAACTGTGAAAGTTTGGAAGATATCAAGATGGACGATAATGCTTTCAGTGGAAGCATACCCACTTCATTAGGCAATATAAATAATCTACAAATTCTCAACTTGTCTCACAACCACCTGGTTGGATCAATACCAGTGTCTTTTGGAAGCCTAAAATTTCTTCAGCAACTAGATTTGTCATTCAACCAACTAGAGGGTGAGGTCCCAACAGCTGGAATATTCAGCAATTTAACTTCACTGTGGATTGATGGAAACATAGGCCTCTGTGGAGGGGAACTGGCCATGCACCTACGCCCGTGTCCTGCAATGCAATTGAATTCAGCAAAGCACAAGCATTTTATTGTTCTGAAAGTCTTGATCCCATTAACCAGCATTGCATCACTTGTGATAGTCATATCTGTAATGTTGTTCTGGAGAGGAAAACGAAAGAAAGAAAATGTACCTTTGCCCTCATTTGATAGAAAGTTCCCCAAAGTTTCTTACAATGATCTTGCAAGATCAACAGAGGGGTTCTCCACATCCAAATTAATTGGCAAAGGAAGATATTCTTCTGTATACCAAGGAAGTTTGTTTGAAGACAGAATCGTTGTTGCTGTCAAAGTTTTCAGCCTAGAGATAAAAGGAGCACAAAAGAGCTTCATTGCAGAATGTAATGCTTTAAGAAATGTACGGCATCGCAATCTAGTCCCTATCCTAACTGCATGCTCGAGTATTGATTCAAAGGGAAATGATTTCAAAGCTTTAGTTTATAAGTTCATGCCACAAGGTGATTTGCATACTTTGTTGCACTCGGTTCCTGGTGATGGGAGCACTTCAACTCTGAGCCACATTACATTGGCTCAAAGGTTAAGCATTGTAGTGGATATCGCAGATGCAATGGAATACCTCCATCATAACAACCAAGGAACTATTGTTCATTGTGATCTGAAGCCTAGCAACATTCTTTTGGATGACAATATGATAGCACATGTTGGAGACTTTGGTCTTGCAATGTTTAAAGTTGATTCTGCAGTGTCATCTTTTGGTGATTCACTTTCGGCTTCTTCAATGGTTATAAAGGGAACAATTGGCTACGTTGCTCCAGGTAATGTTACTCCAATATATATACTGCATCTTCAATTGTGAACTTGTTGATTAAGTTTGGACCTAGAGCTGTATAACCAATAGGGTGCAGAGTTTGTGTTGGACCCATGTAACTATGCTTCTCATAAATATGAGCATGTCTAACATTGTAACCGTGACGTCTTAGGGATAGATTCATAGGGGGAAGAATAGTGGTGGTTCCCATATGGCCATATTCAAGGCTAGGCTGGTCTATCTTTGTATATGTTCTTCTTAATAGCATGAGTATAAGAGCCAATATATAGAAAGAACAATATGTTTTGTTTTGATAAGGGAAAGAACAATATGTTGAGCAGACTAATAACATCTTGCAAACATCATAAAGTCCAAAATTACCCAGAATAGTTTAACACCGACAATTAAAAGGAGATTACAGTACCACATTTCATCGAGGTTATACTTTCTACAGGCCATGGAATTCTTAATTATATTGTCTATGTTCACTTGGAAGAAAATATTATCTGTTCCAACAATGGTTAAAAATAATCAATGTATCATCTGTTCTAACAATGGTTGCGAGATTAAATAGTTGCTTTCACATGCTTGTTTCTCTGACAATATGCAATCTGCAGAGTGTGCAACAGGCACAGAAGTTACAATCGCTGGGGATGTTTACAGCTTTGGAATTGTTATCCTTGAAATAATCTTACGGAGGAGGCCAACGGATGACATGTTCAAGGATGGACTGAATATTGTTAAATTTGTCGAGACAAACTTTCCTGAAAGTATATTAAGGATTATAGATCCTGACCTACTAGAAGATGAGCATGATGTCTCACAAGAAACTTCAGTAGCCATGAAAGAGAAAAACTTGGAGTGTTTACTCTCACTGCTTCAGATTGGACTTTGCTGCGCCAACTCATCCCCAAATGAGCGCATGGACATGCAGGGAGTGGCTGCAAGGCTGCACGGAATAAAGGAGGCTTATCTGAGAGGAACCTGAGGTAACACTAGACAGTTCAGTGCCAAGTTGATATCTGATGATAGTTTATATAGGTTTTGATGAAAATAACCTTTGTATTGGTGTTGCAGAGCTCCCATCACTGCTGACTCCTGGTCCTTGTCGACGATGAACCCCTCCTACAAGTGACTCGCTTTGGCATGCAAGGAAAATGCCCACATGTGGAGCTGCAGGTTTAAAGTGGGTGACCGATAAGTAGGTTCATACACTGTTTCAACCATATGCAGTTTCAGGCTACCAAATCAATAAACATGGATTGTAGATCTAAAGATACTGATAAGCATTTCATACAATGTGTCCGGTACTCAGTAATACTGATTTGCTGTGAAACAAACCTGATGGATCTCGATGTCCACTGAATCCCTGTGCCCAGGCACTAACTGGCTGTTGAGGTCCTGACTTCCTGCGCATTTTATCAAACATTTAGACGACAAGGAATCAACAGCTAGTGCCAATACGAGCATATAAAGGAGAATTAAGTAGTTGCTACCTAATAAGCTTGGGGCTCCTCAGGCAGCGATGGCATATACAGCAGATCGTCCATCTCACCGTCACCGGTGGCTAGATCCACCGGCGTGTTGGGTGGCATCCGTCACCCGGACACCCATGTCCCGTGCACTTCATCAAATGAACGAGCACGACTCAATTGAAACGAAGACTGCAGACCAGCCCAGTGTGCGGAATCGGATTCATCGAGCCACGCACGGGGATCACGAGGTCAACACGCGGATGCAAAGGAAGGGGGAAAAGGAAACAGAGTGGCCGGTGTCTCACCGGAGCAGAGGTCGCTGGCGGTGATGAGTCTCTGTCGACGTCGGCACCGTAGCTGGAGGTGGAAGCGGCTGACGCTGGGGTGGGTTGGAGCCGGGCAGCGGATTTGGATTGTGGAACCTTCAGGTCCGTGGGCACTAATTGGAAGCGGCGTGTGCATCTCTCTCAAGTGGGCCGAGAAATTCGAAGGGCACACCGTGGGCCGTCAGTGTTGGGCCTCATGCGCCGTGGCGAGTAAAATAGGATACGCCCCCGCACGCGGATTGGCCTGGGCTGGCTCTGGAATCAGATTGCCGGACCGCGTCCAAAAAAAAAAGACCCCATTCTTTGAAATAAGGCAAATTTTATGAAACTTAACTGAATTCATAGAAAATATTCCTCCGAATGTCTTCACTGTAAAATGGTATTCTGTAATATATATTTTATGTCATAAATGTTAGTAATTTCTTTTAGGTCCCTGTTTGGATCTTAGAGTTAAAATCTATTCTAATAATTATAATTTAGACACACATCAATTAAGCTAATATGTTTGTATGTGGATTATATTTATATAGTACTATTGGCCATATGAGGGAGATAATTTTGTGCTGCATTTGTGCTGTAGGGAAGCGCGCTGAAGAGCGTCCTAAAAGTTTATCTATTCAATCAATTTCCATCTTCCACCTTATAAATCTAAGATAGACTTATTCTTGAACTTTAGAAATTTGTAGAATGTCAAATTCCAAGCCAAATAGCTTAGTCCATTAAGTAAATTCTAATTCTTCAAAATGAAAAAATCCAAACGGCCTTACACGTGTGTTTGAATGTGAAAGAGAAAAATTCGTTAAAGGACACTGTAAGTGAAGTCGCATGACGAAGGTGATGAAGTGGAGCTGGTGGACGAGGATGAGGTGCTGCTGGCGGACCTGGTGTCCAGGCTCGACGCGCCTCCCTCCGAAGCTCCATCGGCCCCTGCCCCCTGCACCCCAAGATCTGGCGGATCCCTGGTGCCGGGTGGCCTTGCGCGAGCGGATGCCCATACCATCCTCGTTGAAGCTGCAGCCATAGCTGAGCCCTGGTGTGTCATCTCCCCACCCTCCGGAGCTAGGCGGATCTGTTGACAGCGACTGGCGGGGGTCCATCCCGTCTGCACCTCCTAGAGCTCCGGCACCGACCAGGCTGAAATCCATTATAGTCAGGCCAACGCGCGTGCCGACGTCCTCTGCTGCGGTCGCTTGCCGTCGCAAGACGGTGTGGATGAGACTGAAGCTGACGGAAGACTCCGCTGCGTGGCTGCCAGAGCAAAAGAATCAAGGTTCCAAGCAGCTGCCCAGCACTCCGCCTGCCGGCTGCTGGGAGCTCGGGGAGTCTTCGGGAGCTACATGCTCACCTGGAGCCTCCGCCTTTGCCGAGATGGCAAACAGCAAGGAAGAAATATAATGAGAGGACATCGGTAATTAAATGTAAATTTAGGTCTATTTAGATCTATGTGGTAATATAAATTTGAGTCATGAGTTAGTTTATATTATTTTACACAATAGAAGAAGTGGATAGTTACTTAGAAAATAGAATAGATCCATTAGCTATTATTATTATTAATAATGGGGATTAGGTTATACCAAATTGATGATTAGATGTTTTTGATTAGTATGAGAATTTATAGGGTCTATCTTTTGTTTTCCTATCAAGTCTTGTTAGGATTAACATGCAGGCTCCAGTGAGGACCTCTATTTAGAATTTCTAGTATTTGCTTTTTTTCTAGTGTGATATGTATTTAGTTGAAATCTAGTCCTAAGATATATAAACTCTTTGCGGTAAAAAAAGATATATAAACTCTTGATACAACCCTTTTTATGACTTCGTAAATCTATAGTTTATCTTTTAACTTTTAATCAAGTTGTTGCAATCTTTTCACATGTTAATTAGAAATTTTAGTATTCTTTATCTTTTATTCGAAAATTCTTTTTTCATTAAAAAGAGTCTAGTTCCTAGTAGTATTGTTTTCCACATAAGTTAAAACTCGGCTTGCATGTCGACACTAAACATGTGTATAGTATTATTAATATATCATAGAGTGCATAAAATTAAATTAATAATATTGATATGACATAATGTTTTAGAAAATGTATAAACTTATTTAAAATAATAACTTATAAAATTTATTATCATGGACTATTAATATAAAGTGTTATTTCTATGGTTTTGTTAAGTAAACATTTTTCCATGTTTCATGAGTTGTTAAAATAAATATTTATCCTAATGTATACATGTTTATTTGAAATACATGGTGGAACATAGCATCATAGTTATTCTATTTCATGATTATAGAAGTATGTAATTTAGATATATATATGTATCATACTTTATGGATATTGATTTATTTTTTGCAATGATATATATTACTATTTATGTGTAGATTTTAGATATTTTTGTTTATTTTTATAATGGCTAATGTACATACAAATATAAAGGTAATACCTTGTATTATCTTTCACAACGACATATATGGATGAGTTAAATGCAAACTTAGAATATTGCTTTGCATTATCTTTCATAATGATAAAGGTGGATAATTCATAAAATCGTTAGATGTCGGTAATTCAGATACAAAGAGGATTATTTCAAATTATCTTTCATAATGACAAAAATGGATAGTTTAGACGCAATGATAGGGGTTATTTCAAATTATGTTTCATAATGGCCAAGGTGGGTAATTTATATACAAATATAGAGGGTCATTCTGAATTATTTTTTATAATGGTTGATGTGGGTAATTTATATACAAATATAGGAGGTTATTTTGAATTATCTTTTGTAATAGCAGAGGTGGGTAATTTAGATGCAAAATTAGGGGGTTACTTTATGTATTTTTCATAATGGCAGTGGTGGGTAATTTTTTTAATAAACTACAATAGATCAAATAGCTATTATCGTTGATGATGATTAGAGTCTACCAAATCAAAGGCCAAATATTTCTGATTATTGTGAGAATTTCTATGATTTATCTTTTTTCCTAGCGCGTCTGGTGAGAATTAACGTGGTGCTTCCGTTGGGGCCTCTAATTAGTAATAGTAAGATAATATCATATGTATTTATGAGATTAATATTTCGGAAATTAATTTACATAGGAAATGTGACACTTAATGTTTAATGTCAATGTGAGTTCATGTTAAATTTGAGAATTCTGTGAGATTACCCCGTGTTCATATTTATATAATATTAATTTACATAGTTTTCAGAAAACAGAAGGA